TCAATAATATGTTGTTGTTCTGAATCAATGTTCTAGGTTGGTATTTGTGAGCTTCCATTTCACCCCATTAGCTCAGAGGAGATTGGAGGAGTTGGTGGAACGTAAGTTTTCTACTATCCAATTTACTAATCATGGTTTCATGGTCATTGTTGCTTTCAGTTTTTGTTCTGTTATAAACCCAAGGTCTTTTGAACCTTTAAACATATGGATTTCTTTCAGTGTTTGGGTGAAACAATTAGAGTAAGAAATATGTTTTAATATATATGTTAGAGATGTTCTTTTATATTTTTCTCCCTCTGCTATGTCTTGCCTCTAGTTTTATACTTTGTGTTTGTTTCTCATTTTGGGGCTTTCAGCTGTGTGATTCGTGGTTGTGTTCCCAAAAAGATTCTGGTCTATGGAGCAACTTATGGTGGTGAACTTGAGGTAAGAAGCATTTTTTTCCTTTTAGCCATCATTCCAATGGCTTTCTTTTAGCTGTAAGAGCAAAGTTTTTGATTAGTCATTTTCACAAGCATTATTTGCACTGTTGTATTGCTCTTCCAAAACTATCTTTTAGGCTTTATATTGCTTGGTGAAGAGAAACTTAATTCTGAGGCATGTCACTGAGAGAAAACTGTTTTTGATGACGAATGTTGTCTTGTGGTTATCTACTTGCAGGATGCTAGAAATTATGGGTGGGAGATAAATGAGAATGTTGACTTCACGTGGAAGAAACTTTTGCAAAAGAAGGTATGCAGAAATTGCTATATTACCTTATGAATTCTTTCTTTTCATTTGGTGAGTAAATATTTAGGTTCGGTTTCATGATACACTTGCCCTAGTTTCTCCAAATCATGCCAATGAAGTTGGCTAATTGTGAAAAGATTAGCATTGTCATTTTCTCTTCAAACAATGGAGTTGTTAGGAGCATATGATTAAAAAAACTATTTAAAGACAAATGATTTTGAGGGTTACCTTTTTGAATGGTTTGGTGGTAATAGCAGTATAGCGTGTTGGATCCCTCACAAAGAGAAACTACTAAAACTTTGGGATGGACAAGCATTAATACTTTTTCGCAACCTATTGAATATACTGATATCATTGTTGGTCAAGTATGAATGTCAATTGGTGAAAACTGATTGTGACTTGCTAAAATTTGTGTATTGTGCCTAGTATACTTCCATAGATTTGATATTTTGGTACTGTATCAAATTCGAACAGAATTAATCAGTTAATCGTCTTTAATTCCCTTTGTGCAGACTGATGAGATATTAAGACTAAATAATATTTACAAGAGGTTATTGGCGAATGCTGCGGTAAAATTGTATGAAGGTGAAGGAAGAATAGTTGGTCCCAACGAAGTGGAGGTGAGACAAATCGATGGCACAAAAATAAACTATACCGCAAAGCACATATTGATTGCCACTGGCAGTCGGGCACAAAAGCCCAATATTCCTGGACATGTAAGTTTCTGTGTTCATTTTTCTTATTTAATAGCAATGAGTGAAAGCCTCTGTTGTTTATGAAATCCTTTTCGTCAAAGTAAAGTTTAGAAAGATTTTAATAGGAAACACAGAACTATCTGTACATGTGCCATATGATCATCTCGTAAAATTATATTGTAGGAACAATTATAAACGGCTATGTAAGGAAGTTCACTGATTGTTGTACATAAATTGTCTTTTACAGGAGCTGGCTATCACATCTGATGAAGCTTTAAGTTTGGAAGAATTTCCTAAGCGTGCTGTAGTGCTTGGAGGAGGGTAATGTCTTCTCAATCTTTTCCTCCTGATATACCTAGCATGTCAATCGTTTCAGTGGTTCAATCCTCGTTTATGTTTACTTATCAATTAGGTACATTGCTGTGGAGTTTGCATCAATATGGCGTGGAATGGGTGCTACAGTAGATTTATTCTTCAGGAAGGAACTTCCACTAAGGTGCAGCATCAGCTTCTGTTTTCTTTTGCTGTCTTGCCAGTCTCTTTCTAAAATTCTACTTTTTCAGGGGTTTTGATGACGAAATGAGGGCACTAGTTGCTAGAAATCTGGAAGGAAGAGGCGTTAATCTGCATCCGCAGACAAGTTTGACTCAGGTACCTGAGTATGATTGTTACGTTTCATGTTTCATTACTATATACAGTTATGTTCACTAGTTTCATCATTTCATCCTTTACTGAACGAACAGTACCTTTCAATTTAGTTGATAAAAACAGACGAAGGGATAAAAGTAATATCGTCTCATGGGGAAGAATTCGTGGCAGATGTTGTACTATTTGCTACTGGTAACTTTTCTATCTATGAATAGTTATGTGATTCTTGAATTTTCTGTTTGTTTACATTTATTCTCTTTCATTTGCTTCTACTTTAATACATGGACATCTGCGTGGCTTTTGGTTTTATAGAACAGTAGTTTTCTTTCATTCTGGTTTTTTTGGTACTGTATGTTTGTGCAGGTTTTTCTTCCTCCCTTGAACTTTATTTTATGAGAGATGTACTTGTTATTACATATTTTCATGGAGATGTCTAAAGATGAATCTTTTGTTTATATCTACTACAGGCAGAATTCCTAATACCAAGAGATTAAATTTAGAAGCTGTTGGTGTTGAACTTGACAAGGCTGGAGCAGTGAAGGTTGTAACAAAATTCCTATTGTTGCAGATGTTATATGTTATCCGTAGCTATACTCTTGCAGCTACTAATTCAGTACATTATCCTCAGGTTGATGAGTACTCACGCACAAATATACCTAGCATATGGGCTGTAGGAGATGCTACAAACCGAATTAACCTCACACCTGTTGCGTTAATGGAGGCCACCTGTTTTGCGGTGCGTGCCTCTTATCTTGCATTTGTTATCTATACAAACCCTTTGAGTAGTTGTTCCTACAACCAAAGCTTTCAGCTTTAGTGTTTGGGAATGTCTAATTATGTAATCCATTTGTTAAGTGGGATTTTTTTGGTGTATGCAGAACACTGTTTTTGGTGGGAAGCCTACTAAAGCAGACTACAGCAATGTAGCATGTGCTGTATTTTGGTAAGCATTCTTTCTGATAGGAGGAGGTTTAAATTTATTTGTGTGTCATATTGTAGACACTTGTTGTCTCATCACTGTAGTGATGGCTTAAAGTATGTGTACTGTATTCTAAAAAAATTCTCTCGTTTTTCGTTATATCTGCTCTATATGTGAATATAGAACCCTGGAAAGAACTGAAAAGTATTCACTGATATCTCTCCTATTTTGGCATATGTTTCCACTGTGGTACCAAATCAGTCATAAGCTTCCGTAGAGGTTTTTTACTTTTTTATTTAATTACATTTTGTTCTTCTGTCTGCCAGCATACCTCCTCTAGCTGTGGTGGGTCTCAGCGAAGAAGAGGCAGTAGACCAAGCGACCGGAGATATTCTTGTTTTCACCTCAGGCTTTAATCCTATGAAGAACACCATTTCTGGGTATGCAAGCATTCAAATTTCTAATTTTTGAAAAAATCCTTATATCAACCCATACAGTTGTTGATTTCATTTTTTAGAATCTTCTCTTCTTGGTTCTTCAACATTCTTGGACTTGATCACTCTTTGAGGGCTCTAAGCTCCTACTTGATCTAACTACATTCTTCTTTTGGTGATAGACGGCAGGAAAAGACATTGATGAAGCTAATAGTTGATCATAAGACTGATAAGGTTATTGGAGCATCCATGTGCGGTCCAGATGCAGCTGAGATCATGCAGGCAAGTTTTTTTCTAAATAATAGCTTCGAGTATTTATGTTGTATCCCTCTAGTTGCTATAGTGTAAGCCTTTTCTTCACGGTGGATACTGCATACTGGTATTCCCACCTAATAATGTAAAGGAAAAAAAAATCACTTATGGCGGTAGTTAAAATGATCTGGGTAGTCTAGGTGGCTGCGTGTGTCTATGCTTCTGGAAGGAAAGAATTTTTATTCGAACCCGCATAGGAGATTCTTTCAGGGTAGAAGAGAGCCTTGGTTGAGTATTGGAAGTATTGACCTGTACAAAGATTTTAAAGCTTGCAAATTGATTAGAGTTTGATATAATGGTGTCTCATGCTATTTAGTATTGTCTTTTATTGCTTAATGCAGGGGATTGCAATTGCGCTCAAGTGTGGGGCTACGAAAGCACAATTTGACAGCACGGTAAGTTAAATCTTCCTGGAGAAAACATTTATACCTTGAAAAAAGATTCAAACAACTGGGTTTCACTTTCACCAGTTTGATGTTTCTCTAACTAAAGATTTCATTTTTAACATTGTGAACAATATACAGGTCGGTATACATCCGTCTTCTGCAGAGGAATTCGTGACAATGCGCACTTTGACCAGACGCATTGCCTACAAACCCAAACCTAAGACGAATCTATGAACCGCTAAAATCTAGAAAGACAATTGCAGGAAAATTTGATACACTTGGTTTGATCAGAGAGTCAGACCAAAAAAAAAAAAGTACATGAGTTTCCTCTTACTCATGTCCTAATAAATGATTTGTAATTTTTTCTTTGTTTGTTGATGTTTCTTTTCTTCCCTACTTAACTAGAGAAATACAATTTCTTTCTCATGTTGCTAGTGGAATTTTATTACCAAATATCTGCATTATCTTCGAATAAAAAACTCGTATCTTTTGGAAATTCTATCATTTGTTTTGTAGATTTTACACATTTTTTCTATTTACAATTGATTTGCTAAGTTTTGCCTTAATATGCAACGACTTCTTGTAGACGCATGTGGTGTAATAACAAGAAGTAAATCCAATTACATTAGAATAAACTGAACCAAAAACTGTAAACGAGTAGCCTAATAATGCTGAATAAGGCAATGGCCTCTTGTAGTCGCATGTGTGTAATAACTAGAACTGAATTCAATTGTTATCTCCAACCCACATCTAATTCTTCCTTTAAAAATAGAGAAAAAAATAGCATACTTCTATTTTCTCTCCAACCCATTTCTATATTTAGAAGAAAAAATAGAGAAATGTTATATTTGACTTTGAAATAGAAGAAAAAATAGCAATTCTCTAAAAATAGAGATACATTGGAGAAGAAATAGTGGAATGCTATTTTTTTCTCTATTTCAGAGTTAAATATATTTTTGTTTTAGTTTGATCTAAAACCATCTCCAATGTATTTTTCTTCATCCCTACTAAAGCTAAAACGAGAGAAAACACAATTTTTTTATTCTCTTACTGCTAGTTGAACTTTATTACAAAATATATTCATCATCTTTGAATATTTTTTTTGTATCTCTTGGTAATTCCATTCACTTCTTTTTTTTCTCCAGTTTTACTGCTTTTTCACCTAATGATGCTTATTTTTTACGTAAAACAAAAGTTCTGTTGAAGTTGCAACAATTTATTCAGATCCCATGATCAATAGCTTTATAGGAAACAGAAGATTAAATGGAAATTCCAAATTCTTCTTTATTGTAGGACTCAGATTCATATTGAATAATGCAACCTTATTATGGCAATATAAACATAACACATCCACTGGTTTGATCACAAAAAATGTCATCATTCTCTTTAACATTCAAATAAGACGAGTTTCAAATGTGACCAATTGAAAACACAGTTTGATACACACAAAAAGATGAGTTTCTTCATACTCATATCCCAATAAATGATTTGTAGTTTTTGGTCTGTTTGTTGTTGTTTCTCTTCATCACCATTTTGTTTGTACTTGGGTAAGTTTTGTCGCAATAAGACAAACGACCTAAACCCGAATCCTACTAACTTGGATCAAACTGAACCAACATTTGTGAACGAACATTATATTTATTTATTCCGTAGGACAGAAGTTCTGAAGAAGTTGCAATAATCTATTCAGATTTCATGATACAAACTCTTACAGAAAACAAAATATTATATGGAAATCCAAATTGATCTTTATTATAGGACTGAGACACATTGTATTTATCAAAGAAAAAATATATAAATCAAGAATGCAATTTTATATGGAAATATACACAACACATCCACTTGGCCACAAAAAAGTGTCATAAGGTATCAAATGTGGCAAGTTGAGAAACTCGGCTTGATACACACAAAAAGATGAATCGAACAACATAGAGATTCATCGGAGTCCGGTTGTTGGTTTAAAGCTCCATTTTATATCTTAATCGAGCTTCACGTTGGAATATAGAAGCGTGTCTTTCGTCAAAGGCATGTACATAAGGAAGTACACCTGCAACGACCATGAGAAGCAAGAATGTCAAATTCCAGCTACTTATAGGTTCAATGTTCAGCTACAAAAGTAATATACAGACTACAATGATCCTTTGACTGAACAATTTAGGTCATAAAGCTTCAACTCCACATTGGCTGACATCACCTTAACTTAAGTAACGCAGATGTTCATTATAGAAGAGAGGATGATGAATTATGTGATCTTACCCCAAGGATAGTTGCAATGAGAAGGATTATTCCAGTTAACCATGCAAGCGTCAGCCTAACAAGAAGAACTTGAGCGATAATGATTGGACTTGGAATTCCCTCTACCTCAGCCATCGAGCGTGCAGATGAACGAGAAGAAGACCCAACGGTTAGCAGATTAGCTGATTCTTGATTTACTCTCTCATCAAGGACGATCACCCCAACAATTTGGCCTGCAAGAGCCCACACATTTAAGCTTACTAGAACACAGTAAACAAAAATTGCTCCAGATGATTAAGTAAAAAGTATTTCCGCCGAGGAGCTGAGAAAGTGTCTACTATCTTGAACTACTTTCTAAGACACATCTTTGAAATTGAGTTTATTAAATCACAGAGACAATTCACCTTTATGAGATGTCTCCAACAGATTGAATAGCTTTGATAATGTGGCAAGCAATACATCCATTCCTTGCTTAGCCATACCTTGTCCATACTCCTTTGCTAAAGCCTGTAATTTCTCAAGAGAGTAAATGATATTAGACTTATTGACAAACTTTTTGCAAAAAAAGTACCCAACAATAAGTAGAAACAAAATGATTGAACAATGACATTTTCAAAGAAGATACGGATTTAAACAGCAGTAAAGTCTACAAGATGCCAATAATGTTTTGATCACTGAGGAGGAAGCTCAAAAGATGAACTCATCACAAGGTCCTTATTACTCTTGTGATCCTTCGGATACAAACAAGGAGAAAGATAGCTTAAACGACTACAACCAACTCATTCCACTCCCCTGAAATCTATCATGATTCCTTTAGCTTCGAATTCTCTATTATTCGCCTAACAACTAAGCAGGAGTAGTAGCCTCACCACCAACAACCATTGCGGGGTCAACAGAAATGTCATACGTTTTTAAGAGACTAAAGAAGATGCAATTACTAATGCACTGAACTCCACTCTCCAGTTTATATATCAAGAAACTTAGACAGTGAGGAAAGGGGAAAAAAACAAAATACATAATGGATGCCCTTACATCAATACCACCAAAGCGTCCAAACGTTAATTCAGCAGGTCTCTCAATACCATGAGATAAATCCTCGTGAAGGTTGACTGCCTGTCTGACATTCTGATACAGGTTCAGAAGGTTCAATGCAAATTTCCTTTCTGCTTCCTGCCAATGGTAACAAAAGTCAGATGCCTTATTCAAATGGGAATCACAATATCTACAAGCAATGCAGGATCCTCCTCCCATGTAATATTCTATCATACAATTTCATGGAATTAAAATTACCTTCTCTAAATGGAACTCCACATTAGCACCCCCAGCCAGAGGGATACTCAGCGATCCAGTCAATGGTTCAGCAGAGCCAGCAACATATGATCCACCCAACCAAGATGCCTACGGATAATACAACCACACCATCAACTAGTAGTCACATTAAAATGAACAACGCAAACAATAGTGTTTGCACTTAGAATGACAGGTATTGTTAACTTACAAAATCAGTAATGTCTTGGTCAGTCACATCAGATGAGTGTTCATTAACAGAAACAACAGCCACTTCGCTTTCTGCATAATTTTGAATATATCCAAATCAAGACTTAAACCCAAACAAAGAAAATTAGAAACTAGTCAAACTCATTGGATAATTCTGCTATTCAAGCTATCAGGGCACCTGGAAGTTCAATATCAGCTTTGAAAGAATCAGCGTTGATACTGCCCCTTATGGCATTGCCCAAGAAAGAATGACTGGGGTAGGTTTCAGCAAGCGCATCTGCAGTTTAAAATAAACACTTAAATCTCTTACAATTTGAAAAAAATGGTTCATGTTAGAACATTAAAGCTTTTCAGTGAATTAATTTGTGTACCAGCTCCAGCAATTTCTAGCACAAAAGCAGCATGAGGCCTCTCAAATGGATTAGGCTTTAAAATCCTGTTCAACTATAACAAAATGCAACAAAAAGTTAGATGATAAAGTACATAACTTTAAACCCAAAAAAATGCAAACTTTACTAGAAAACTCAAAAACCTTGGATGAGCCATCAGCTGTCAAAGTTGCTGGAGGTGCAAAACCCAACAAAGCAGACACCGCTGCGGATATTTCAGAGAGTGACATGGGAAGTGCCTGATTCAAATAAAGAAGTTAACTAAATGTGACTCTGGAATCACATGTTCCAATTTTCAGATAGCAATTACTTATGAAGGACACATAAGATAGCACTATGCCACAAAAGAAGAGCACTTGATTCTAGCCCAACAACTCAAAGGGATTCATGAGTTGGTCGATACAGATTAAGACTAAAGAACTGCTAAGTCACAATTTGGAGTATTTCCGATGATCTCTAATCTAGAGCC